TATGCACTACCTGGCAAAATGCTTTATCGGTAAATACTTTATCAATGATTTTTGTCGACATCGACGTCCCTGATTCTTCGGCCAAGAGAAGACAGGAGAAGAGCATGACAAGAGAAAACAAGAGGAGGACAAGACCCGACTCGGTCACAGGGCCCAGCCACAGAGCGCGGCTACAGATTCCGGCCACAGATTTCAGGGCGCGCCCAATCAGCAAATTGCTTTATCAATAAATTCCTTTATCAATGATTTTTTTGTCGAGATCGACATCCCTGGTTGCCCACAAGAGAAGACAGAAGAAGAGCATGACAAAAGAAGACAGGAGGAGCACAAGGCCCGGTCACAGAACCCAGCCACAGAGCGCGGCGCGGCCAATCAGTGTGGCCATCTTTTCTATGATAGAACACCAACAGTCAACCCTTTAAGGAACAAGAGGAGGACAAGACCCGGACACAGAACTGGGCCACATACCCCGGCCAGAGAGCCCAGCCACAGAGTTCAGGGGGTCAGTGACTGTGGCCAGCCAGTTCTTTTTTGCGAAGATAGAACCACAACAGTAAACTGTTTGTGGAAAAATCCTATATTCTAGTTGCAATCCATACCATTACACGTGGAATTGCTGATGGAAATTGCTATAAATCTGCGCGCCGTCAAAAACGAATTCTTGGTATGCACTACCTCGCCAACTGCTTTATCAATAAATTTATGTATCAATGATTTTTGTCGAGATCGACATCCCTGATTGCCCACAAGAGAAGACAGAAGAAGAGCATGACAAGAGAAGACAGGAGGAGCACAAGACCCGGTCACAGAACCCAGCCACAGAGCGCGGCCACAGATTCCGGCCACAGATTTCAGGGGCACAGCCAATCAGTGTGGCCAGCTTTCTTTTTCTATGATAGAACTCCAACAGTAAACTCGTTGGGGAATGAATAAGAGGAAGACAAGATCCGGACACCAAGTTTTTCTAAGATAGAACTGCAGCAGTAAACTGCATGGGCATCTAAAGGATTTCATTCCTTCACTTTTTTGAAACTTCCGCCTCTCCTTCCTCGACTCCTGGTTAGGTCTCTTACAGCAAACGGCGTGGACGACTGCTTAAGGACGGCCTCAGTGGATTGTCCTAGGCACATTTAGAGCGAGAAGTGCACCAAACAGGTGGCGTGGGCCCTCCGCTAGTCGTCGATGGAGACGACCTCACGGAGGTACAAGCTCCGGTTCGCAGGAGGGACGCGCCGTCTTTCATTCAGAAGGCGCTGGAATACCAAGTGTTCCAATGTGAGAGAGTATTGAGGGGCTAGGTTAAATAGTTGCTTTCAAGGTTGGATTTTCTGTCTGCCGACAGTCATGGGAATCTAGTGTATAACAATAACAACGTGAATTTGGGTGGGTGAATTGAAATCGATTTCGAGAACCCCAGCCATTTGTTTCCCAATTCAGTTCGTCATGGCTTCCAGCGATTGAAATTATCTGCGCAATGGATAGATACCAGGCAGAAAAACACCAACCATGCGAGGAACGTTTGTTGGTTCTCTGTCCATGACGTGGGCCCCTGGGATGATGCAGGTCTGCGGCCCAACTGTGAATCACCGCTTGGTTGCCTTTTGGTGTTGACTTAAGCTTAACATCACCAAGTGGTAAACACCCGGCCATCTTTTCCACAGGATGTGCAAAGTAACACTAACTGCTCCTCTTCGCATCGAAGTAGGTACGGAATATGCTAACACGATGACAGGATAGTGCCCCGACCTTGACAATATTCAATAAACCTATCCAGTAGCGGACTTGGTATGCCAGTACTGATCACCAATACTCCAATACTGTCCCCCAGTAGTCCAGTCACTACTCTTTGCCAGAACCCAGGTACTGATCACCAGTACCTCACCAGGTACTGATCACCAGTATTCATTGCGTCTACTTTCCAACACTTGAGAACTGACTCCCATTGCTCCCCCCGGATCCCCTGGTACTGATCTCCATGACCACCACCAGACACGCGTCTCCTGCCTCTTTTTCATGCTTTTGTCAATATTATTTCATATATTGAAACAATTGTATCATATGTATATATTGTATCATATTAATTTATATCATATATATATATATTTATATTGAAAAATGATATTTAATATTACTCCGTTCTTGTGTCTGCTTGCTCAAGTGCAAAAACTCTTCCTGATGGCCGTGGGGGCGACCCACACCGCAATGCCGCCCCCCGCCACGTCTCATCCAGGTTCCACCCCTCCTGGTGAGCTGATTTTTGCGTTTCGATAATGGTGACCGCTCCTCTATGCTACCCCCTGTCCCCTCCCAAACAAGTCCCTTCCCCACTTGTTGAGCTTTTGTAGCCTTCGCTTCTTCACAAGTTCGTGGTGACCGCGGAGGCAACCCGTCCACTATGTTTCCACCCGCCACTTCTCAGACAGGCCCCAACCCCGCCTGCTGAGCTGCAAGTATCATTCCTTTTTTCGTTTCGTGGCAGCTTCTACGAGTTAATTGACTCGGCTTTATCTCTTGGTTATGCTTTGTTTTTAATTTATACAAGCATATACCCCGCACGGTTTCAGAACAACTCGTTCGGACCAATATAAGTCAAAAATTGTTGCTTTGGTATGTTTTATCCAGCAAATAGCTTCGTCGATGACTTTGGTGGCTTGAAAGCTTTCATCATCTTTATCCAGCAAAACGTGAGAAAGCCATATTCGCGATCAATAGATTTACGCGTGCTTTGTGTGTGTCTGAATTGCTGGCTCTGACCTTGGGCCAATTAAGCCAAATCCTGAAACAAGCCCAGAAGGTCCGAGTTGATGTCCGCAAGCTGGATCCATTTGAACCGTTGACTGTTTGACAGTTTGTTTCTGGTCCTTATTGAATAAACATTTCTATCCAAGCTCAACCTCCGGTACTCCGGCGAATTTTTAACTTTTTCCTATCGACTTGCCAACAGTGTCGTCTGTCAACCTGCAAGCCTCAGGATTTGCGTTGGGTAACCTGCACTGGCAGGTCTGTCACAGCCAGACCAACAGTGGCTCAACTCCGGTCACTCCGGTAACCACTCCCAATAAACGCGCAAACTGTGTGGGTCGACGCTCGTTTCTATTTCCACCTGTCTCCACTTGTCTCCCTGCTGGTTTTCCTTCTTGTTCCGCTTGTCTCCCCTTGTCTCCCACTTCTCTTAGCATTCTCTGCGCGCACATCTCCAGCACTTCGTGATCCATTTTACACTTACCCCCCACTTGTCCCCTTGTCTTGCAGGCCACTCTGGGTCCTCTGTACCGCGTGAGTGTTCTTTACGACTGTCTCCACTTTTGCCTTCCTGGTTGTCCCCCTTCTTGTTGCACTTGTCTCCAATTGTCTCCCACTCGTCTCGGTCTGCTTTGGATACACATGGCCAGATGTTTTCAAACTTGTCTCCACTTCTCCTCCCACTTGTCTCGGCCTTCTGTGGACGCACACTTGCCTCCCCTTGTCCCTTTGCTTGTCTCTCTGCTTGCATGCTCTTGGCGGGATGCTTTTACACTTCTCCCTGGTCGAGTAAGGCCACTCTGGGTCCTCTGGGCGCATAGTTCTCATTTCACTTGTCTCCAAGCTGTCTACACATGGCCAAATGTCTGAACTTGTCTCCACTTGTCCGCCTGTTTCTTGGGTGCTCTCAGCCGAAGTTTTTCCAATTGTCTTTTTTGCTTGTCTTCTTGTTTCACTTGCTCCACTTGTCGCTGCTCTGGATGTTTTTGAAGTTGTCTTCCACTTGTCCACTCTGAATGGTCAAATGTTGTTCA